CTTCAATATCGTTATGTCCTGGAACCCAGCATAACCCAACTATTTGACGTATATCATTCAGAGCGGTTTTACAATCATGAACTGCTTTCGAGTTTATAGTATGCGACTTCACCGCTTTCAGGACCGCCTGACTATCTACGTAAATAGTCACCGGTCCTGTAATGTCTGTATTAAGTGCTTTTACTATCTCGGCCGCTTTCGTGATTGCAAGAATCTCTGCTTGAAAAACGCTACAATCATTGTTGAGTTTATATGAGTTTCGTATACCTAATTCCCTGCAGTAGACGCCTGCGCCAGTGCCTTCCTCCATCTTGGACCCGTCTGTGAAGATTGACAGACCTGGCAGAGGTAGGGAGCCACTAGTCCAGGATTCCCTGTTAGGAAATTCGACTTTAATGTCATTAAAATCCCTATGGGGGGGAATATAGTCACTGATATGACTATCCCCCCTAAAAAGGTCATAACTTGGCGTTATGTTTAGAATGCTGGCATGACCATAGTTCAGCGATTTCAAGGCATCTGTTTCCCGGAGTCTCAGGGCACACCTAGCAGCCTGGAATTTGATCAGAATGTCCAATGGTTGGAGATTCAAGATTGCATTCAAGGCTGCTTGTGGTGTGCTTCTTAATGCTCCGGCGATCAGAATTGAAGCCGATCGCTGTACTAAGCTCAGTTTTGTCAGCAGCTTCTTTTTATTCACCCCCTGCCACCAGACAAGACATCCATAAGTAAGTATTGGTAAGACAATCATCGTATACAACCAGTGTATAATTCCGGGTCTCAATCCCCAACTCTTGCCTATGGAGTTCTTGCATGAATAGAGTGCCATCAATCCCTTCTTAGAGCGTTCCTCGACATTCCTATTCCACAGTAACTTGCGGTCTAGGACAGTGCCAAGATATTTAGCTTCATCAGAAAGGGTTAATGTCACTCCACCAAGTGATGGCAGACGAAAACTAGGAATTTTGTATTTCCTAGTGAAGAGTACCAGTTCGGTTTTTGTGGGGTTTACACCAAGACCTTTGGTGCAAGCCCAATTTGAAAGGGTTGAAAGAGCACCCTCCGGGAATTTGCTTCTTCATTTCTCAAATGGAATAGTTACCATTTAGCCCATCAGTTAGTATTTCATTTGCAGCATCTGTATCATTGAATTTGTTGTTAATTGTGCAACATTTTTTAATTTTATTTTGTCACTTTTTATTCGCCATACAAGTTCACCATCCCTTTCTAAAGTCCATAGCAATTAAATATGTCATTAGTTCGGACTTTAAATTAGGTCAGTTAACTGAATATTTGGACAGTTGCTTTTTATTACATATTTTCTTTTTATAAAATACAACTTTCATTGTTGCATTTTTTTCTCTTAAAGAAAATTCTTCGACTTATATTAACTCTTCAAAATGGTATTTAAGACGAGTTGAAATGAAATGCACTTGAATTATGTGACCTTGAATGTGAATGGCAAATTTCTCTTAAATAATATGAAATTAAAGGAATTTAAAGAGAATAATTTTATAACTAAATGTCCTACGCAAGAGATAATTTCCCATTTGAAAATCAATCTAAAGAAAATATGCAGAAAAAATCATACATAAGAGAAAAAATTTGCTAAACAATTTTACACTTTTTACTGTTATCTTGATTTTGAACAATATTTTCTGCCATGCGCAAAGAGTCGCTATAAATTTTATTAATTCGGAAATATTGAGTCTGCAAGCTCAGAAAGCCCTAATAAACTAGTAACAGAAATTAATACACTAGTGAAATGTTTCAGAATGTAGTCTCTTTTAATGGATATTCGGTGCAATTGGGCGCCAGAGAAGAATTATTATGGAATGTAGTTTTTGTCTGCAAAATAAGTAATATTTGCAATCTTTTGAATTCCGTTCAAATCACTTCGAAATAATAGTGCGTGTGACCCAATAAAGTCTGTTGAAATCGCGAATATTTATGATATTCAATTTTTCACACAGATTACTGCTACTCCTAGAATGTTTAGTATATAGCAAATGGGATATATAGGTATCACCCCATTTTCGATATTTTGATATTTTTTGCCGCATTTTTCACCGACTTTCATCAATGCTGAAAATTATTAATAAATATCTCGCCAAATAACAGTCACTTTGATAGTCATATGGAGTTCAAAACTTCAAAATGTCAGCCAACAAAACCCCCAAATTAATAATAATAATTTTGAGTACTTATTGGACATTTTCTCACCATATATGTAATATGAAGTAAATCAATCAATTTTTGTTCTCAATAAATATTTGAAGATATTTTTCCAAATGGTAAAAATCTAAACTCTTTACCATTCCTCAATAGTCATGTCTATGAAGTTATACAAGTTATAAAATAATTTTTAATGAAATAGATTTCGAGCAATATTTTTTGTTACATCTCCTTAAGACAGTGTCATATTTCAGCTAATCTAGCACGATTCCTCTGTAAGGAGTTTGACTGTGAATTTCAACTGAGACGCCATTAACAATTCAGTTAGTCTATAAAGACTCCTCGGTCGTTTCACAATGACTATGAAAGTCTTCTCATCGAACTGCCTGAACACTTCATCGCATCCATAAATGCTGAATGTTTCAGATAATCCGCAGGGATTCTCCGAGAAATTCAGTTCGTGCATCAAGTCTCACTGGAGTTTTCAGTTTATAAAGAAAATAAATTAATAAATATTAGAAGAAAGTTTTCCATCTGATAAACGATGTAGTATTTTACTATGCCTACATAGCAGGACTCTGAGAAAACACCATGATTTAATAGTATTATAAAATTGATTTCAACAACAACCGGAACGTTTCATTACATCCATTAAGGCTCTCCTAGTATTTGGTTCATCTATGAAGATATACTGTATATTTCAGATAATCTTCAAGGATTCCCTGAACAATTTTTTTGGTGCATAAAATCTGTCTGGATTTTTGAGTTTATGAAGAAAATAAATTAATTTTTGTTCTCAATAAATATTTCCAGAAAGTTTTCCATATAATCAAATATGTAGTATTTTAATATGTCAGGGCTTTGAGAAAACTCTATGGTTTAATATTATCGATTATAAAATCAATTTCAACAACAATTTAGACCCATATATTTGATATAATTTCATATTTCAGCTATTCTAACAAGGCTCGAACAATAAGGCTTTCTAATTCTTCAAAGAGATCAGATGACAATTTCATTTTGGTTGTGAATTTTAAGTGAGACAAACCTCCAAAAATTTCATATTTCACCAATTCTAGCAAGGCTCGACCAATAAGGCTTTCTAATTCTTTAAAGAGATCAGATGACAATTTCATTTTGGTTGTGAATTTTAAGTGAGACAAACCTCCAAAAATTTCATATTTCACCTATTCTAATAAGGCTCCACCAATAAGGCTTTCTAATTCTTTAAAGAGATCAGATGACAATTTCATTTTGGTTGTGAATTTTAAGTGAGACAAACCTCCAAAAATGCCGTTAAGCTATAGAAAGTTTATATTTATTTTTTTAGAATCATTGCAAATACCAACATCGGCCCAAATAAATTTCTGAAATTTGTATGAAAAAAGCTAGTTCGATTTGCGTCGTACCGATCCGATTATCTTTATGGCTTTGAATACTAAATCAAATGGTTTAAAATAAATTCAATTTTAATATATAAATTTAAATATTTAATTTTAGTATAAATATTTTACGTTTTATGAATTTTTCACGTTTTTTAGTTATTTGTGAAATAAAGGCAACAACTTGTTACGAATATTTATTATATATCTGGTTTGATATTATTATATCAAATGGTTTAAAATAAATTCAATTTTAATATATAAATTTAAATATTTAATTTTTGTATAAATATTTTACGTTTTATGAATTTTTCACGTTTTTTAGTTATTTGTGAAATAAAGGCAACAACTTGTTACGAATATTTATTATATATCTGACAGAACAAGCCACTAAATATAGAGTTGATTTTTTGTTATACACCTCAAGATATCCTACCCTGGATTATTATATCATGCTCTTTTAAAATGTTGGTATTCCGATAAAAGGAAAATAATTTTCGATTGATTTTTTATAAGTGTTTACAAAACTTTTTTTCATTTCATTTATTAACTCACTTCATTGTAATATAAACAATCCAATCCTAAATACAGTACCCAAAAAAAAAAAAAAAACTTATTGACAATAACTAAAATCTATAAATACATTTTGTAATACTACAATTTATATTCAAATTTATTCTACAATATTCTAGGGAGAATATCCTAACAAAAAATTAAGAGAACTGATAAGGATCAGTGGCGAGATCCGAAACTATAGTCTTCCCTGGCTTACCCCTTGGTGGACAATGTCATACTACACCCACTAATAAATAGTAGTTTTTATAAAAATTGGGTTTCAGCCTGACTATTTTGCAAAAGCAAAATATAAATGGTATCAAAAAAAACGCCAGCACTACTGAATGTGCAAAAATTGTAAGAAATCGACTCATATAAAGATATAAAATTGTTCATAATGTGCTTAATTCGTTGTGTTGGCCTACCGCTTTATTTGGGAATGATATCATTTTAATGTGAATTTAAATTATATTAACTGAAACAATTTAATTTGAATATCAAAATTATTCTACATTCTTAATAAAGTTATTAATAAAAATTTTAAAAAAAGCCACAAATATTCATAAAAACCGCCCAAAAATTTTGTTTAATTTTTTATGGTTCACTTTGTTTAGCCGTGTTATCATTTCAAAGTGAATATAAATATCAGCTGATGTTATTACATTAGCCTATGCCCCATGACCCAATAATAATTATTGGGCCATGCCTATGCCCCCTTTCTAAACAAATAAACGTTGTCGCCATTCCTTTACTACGCTCATTCGTAAACAACCCCACAATTTTGTTTTGTCCCACGAATTTATCTGTCATTATCTGATGTCGCCTCTATTCGCATCAAAGGCAACATTTGTGAGCTGGAATAAAATTAAGATTTAACCTCCTGAAAGAATGGAGCAATCCACTCTATTCTCCATAAAAAGTTTGTGCAGAACCTGCACCACAGACACAACAGTTGGCGATGCCTTTAAAGTCAATGCCATTTGCATTTTCGAGCATATCAATGAAAGTCCTGGCAGTCCAACGGTAATGGATCTATTAATAAAACTGCAACCTGAAATTTGTATCGGATTCCAGGATAATTTACCAAAGACAGTGTGTATGGCATGCATTGAACAATTGCAAAAAATCTATGAATTTTTGGAAGCCTATAAACAGGCCAATAGCAAATTATTGAAATTATTAAATGGAATTGATTCGGAACAGACGGTAATTGTGGATTCAGTGAAAAATGAATCGGAAAAATTGGCCTATGAGGACATAGTCGATGAAGAGCCAATTTCAACATGTACCTTAAATAATATGCTAGATATAATTGTTACAGCCCCAGCGGGGAATTTAAGGAACCAGCTTGAAGATGTGAAAGTGGAGAAAATGCTTGGTACGGAATCCGAAGATTCTGATGGATGTAACAATGCCTTCGATGAAGGGTAATTTAATTGAAAAAATATTTATTTTTTATGGAAAAAGTTTTTATCTTCGATTTTTTACTTTCAGAAATGACCTCTTAATGGAAATGGAAACAAGTAAAATATTAGACTCTCATTGCAATAAGAAGGAAAATAAATCCCTGAGAAAGAAAGGAACTAGAAAAAATTCTAAAACGAAAAACAATAAAAGTTGTACAGAAAATACTACTGCTAACAGGGAAAAGGACCGGGATACAAGTTCAAATCAAAAGGAAGAAACTAAAGACAGCTATGATTGCGAATATTGTGGGAAAGGTACTTAGGCAGTCAATTTGAGACTTCCACTGGTAAATTAAATAAATTTCTTCGTTTTGTAGTTTATTTCAAACAACACCAATATAAAGACCATTTAAGAACACACTCAGGTAAATGGCCATATAATAAAAAACTTAGTATTATTAATAAAATTTCATTTTTAATATTCCTAATTTATCAATCCTCATTTAAGCGCAGATGAAAAACCCTTCCTATGTCCTGAATGTGGAAAAGGTTTTAAAATTCGAACGTGTTTAACGGCACACATGAAACGTCATACGGGTGTGAAAAGCGTTGTCTGTCCCGTATGTCCAAAAACTTTTGTGGACAAAAGTGGTCTCCATAGTCATATGTTTGTACACAAGAAAGAGAAGCCTTTCGTGTGTGACACCTGTGGAGCTGCCTTCAATATGGCCTATTTACTGAAAAGACATAGTTTTTTACACACAGGCATAAAAAATTATGCTTGTACACATTGTGATCAACGGTATGTATGTAAATGACAATAATACCCTATGAAAAAATATATTTTTCTCAAATTTCTCTTTTAGTTTTGCCCGATCAAGAACTCTACATCGCCATATGCTTACCCACACAGGTGAGAAACCATTTGAATGTCACTATTGTGATCGGGCATTTAGTCAAAGTAACGATTGTCACACCCATATGAAATCACATGTCGGTCCCAATATACATCTATGTGAATTGTGTCCAATGCGTTTTCCTTTTGTCAGGGAGCTGCGGGCACATTTTGAGACGCATAAGGTATTCATTTGAAACACTACAATTCCTTATGAAAAATAATTGATTTTATTTTCTCATTTCAATAGAGTGATGATGAAGAAAAGCGCGCGAAAAATCTTGAAGGACGCATACAGGAGGTGAATAATCTTAAAATTAATTTTGGTTATAAAAAAGATTGAAATGTTTTGGTAGAATATGTATAAATTGAATCTATGTAGATTTATTTAATGTAAATGCATTTGTTGTATTGTTTTAAGTTCTAAACTAATTAATTGAAATTGAAAAAATGCCAAAATCCATAAAATACATTAATTGTAAACACATGCAAACAATGCCTATTAACAAAGTAATTCAAGGAGATCAGCTGGATAATAGCTACTTCTCAAGTTTGCTTCAAATGTGGCCTTATTTCCCTCTAAAATTTATGTTAGCGGGTTAGTATAAAGCGATAAAATATTCACCACAAAAAGTCTACTATGGGTCTCCAATGGAACCCAATCAATACCTGTCAAAATTTTCACTAAAATAAGCGCAATAAAATTGGCGAAGAAATTAGAAGTTTTTTTGTCCCATTTTGCGTATTTTTAAAATTTGGCCATATCTAGCACTAAAATTAATTTTAGCGGGCTTGTGTTAATATAATTTTTATTCTACATCAAATTTCACTATGGGCCACAATTTAAGTCAAATCGTTGTCTATAATATATATCGGAGAAATATTGCTAACAATGTGGAAATTTATATAAAAAATTGTACATTTTTCAAATTTTGTGTATTTTCACAATGTGGTCATATCTACCACTAAACTCAATTTTAAGAAGTTGTTGTCAATACAAATTATATTCTACTCTAAATTTCGTTGGAGGGTTCCATCAAACTTCTGTGTTTATCTATAATATATATCGGAGAAATATTGGTTACAATGTGGAAATTCATATAAGAAAATGTGTATTTTTCGAACTTTGTGTATTGCCAAAATGTGGCCATATCTACCACTAAACATGATTTTACCAGGTTTGTGTTAATGAATTTTTTTTCTACACAAAATTTCACTATAGGTCCCCACAATAGTCCAATCGTTATCAATAATATATATCGTAGAAATAATGGCTACAATGTGGAAATTCTTATACAAAAATTTAATTTTTTGATATGTTGTGTATTTCCGAAATGTGGCCATATTTATTACAAAATGTCGTTATAGGGGATTGGTATTAAGGAAGAAAATATTCTTCATAAAATTTTACTAAGGGTCTCCAAACAAATAATATCGATATCTGTAAAATGTGTCTTTAAAATTGCTATACTAAAAAATAAGAAAATATAAGAGTTTTTAATACAACTTTGCGTATTTCAAAAATGTGGCCATTTCTCCAACAAAACTTAGCAAGTTGGTGCCAATGGAAATGATATTGCACAGAAAATTTCAGATTATGTTTCCATATAGTCAAATCGTTTTCTATTATTTATAGCCTCTCAATATATGGGTTACAATTTGGAAATTCATATCTCAAATTTTGCATTTTTCATATTTTGCGTATTTTAAAAATGTGGCCATATCTCCTACAAAAAAAAAAAACAGCTGACCTTCGCTAGCTGGGTAAACTTATTAATAGATATTGAAACAAAGTTGTTACTCGACACTTTTGAGTACTAAATATTCTTTACAAAATTACAAATTTAATTACAACAGAAAATATTTCTGAAAAATAGATAAATGAACGCATAAAAGCAGGGTTATGTTAAAAAATTTAATTATTTTATGAAGAAAATATATTTAGCTTCCTCTGCCAAAAGATTCAGTGTATATAAAATGCATTATTTCGTTAGCTACATCCAGAAAATTCGTCGTAGTCCCCATAATGTAGATATATTTCAAATTAGAATAAAACAAGATTATGGAAAGAATGCCTGACATTCCATTAATTGTGCTGCTATAAATCTATAATTAATTGTCAAATTTTTCTCTGCTTGTTTCCCCAAAATCATATTTTAACTTATATTTTCCTTTAAAACATACTTTTTAATAAACAATTCTACATTTCTACTGTTTTAAATATCTTCTACTTCACTGTGTGACGTGTGACCTTGCCACTTAATAATGAATATACAAACTAATTCACAAAGTTCATTTCAGTGAATAAATACGTCACATTGAACCATCCCCAACAGGAACAAATTTGTTTTCAATCTTAAATAAAGAAAAATTTATATTATTTATTAATAAACAATAAAAAATGCCACTCTATGAAACGGCAATGCAAGAAAAACCACCTGTGGTCTTAGATATTGGGTCGGCATATACCAAGTAGGTGGAAATTGATTACAAACAATGACGTCATATTGGTTGGTTACTACTGCTGATGATGCATCTACTCCCTTTCTTTTTCCAGATTTGGTTTTGCAGCCGAGGCATATCCCAGAAAAATCATACCCACAGAAGTGATACTTTCGTCGAATGGTGAAACGAAACATTTATTCGATTACAATGACAAATTGGAGTTCTATGATCAAATGGTGGATTTTTTGCAGACCATATTTTTCAAGTGAGTCATTTAAGCCGGCAGTAGGATTTTCTTAATGATGATTTTGTATGTATTGCAGATATTTATTGGTAAGTCCCAAGGAGAGGAAAATTGTGGTGGTGGAAAATGTCTTCGGCCAGACCATTATACGTGAAACCTTGGCCAAGGCCTTGTTTCGCCATTTCGAGGTCTCCTCGGTACTCTATGTACCCTCACATATGATTGCCCTTTCCACATTGGCTGTGCCACATGGTGTTGTTGTCGATATAGGATATAGTGAAACAACTGTTATGCCCGTTTTCAGTGGTGTCCAGGTAATGCAAGCATTCCAAGATCAACGATATGGTGGACGTGCTGTACATGAAGAAATCAAACGTATGCTAGTGGCCGAGGGAGTACGTGAAGAGTTACTTAATGAAACCGTTTTGGAAGATATTAAAGTACGCACATGTTTTGTAACAAAATTGGAACGGGCCCAAGCTTATTTGAAAAATGAACCACCACAAGCACCACCAAGCGTGGACTATCCCATTGCAGATGAGGCAATTATTTCGGTACCCGGTAGGGTGCGAGAAACAGCATTTGAGGTGTTCTTCGAAGAGAACAATGATCGTGATAGTCTACCACATTTGATTATAAAATCCATCCTCCATTGTCCAATGGACATACGTCGTGCACTGATGGAGAATATTTTTGTTATTGGTGGTAGTGCAATAATAATGGGTATTTTACCACGCCTACAACAAGAACTAAAATATTTGATTGAAAATGATCCGGAGTATAAGGAAAAATTGCATGGAGATGTAACATTTAAATTCCATAAGACTATTGGCCGTCCAAATATAACGGCATGGATTGGTGGCTCTTTGTGTGGTGGTACGGATTTGGTTAATACACGATCCCTAACCAAAGAGGCTTATATGCGTTTGGAAAGAGTACCGGATTGGGTGTGTTTGGATGATAATCGTACAGCGGGCTAAAAATCGGAGAGAGGGAGAGAGAGTGCGAGAATTCTTTGTGTATTTAAGATATTTATTTTAATACTAATTAAAAATGTTTAAAACATTCTATAAATAATTAAAATCAACAGATTTTTTGGAATATAAAAAAGATTAATTCCGAAAAAAATATAAATTCTTGGGAGAATATTCTCTTAAAAGATATAAATGGAATGTCGTATTGGATTTATTGGCAGAAAATTTTTAGTAGTAATTACATGCTTCTCAACTTGGCACCAGACCAAATTTCATTTGTATTCGCAGCTCATCATCCTTCAAGGCTTGTAGATTCCGTTGCTTGGTTTCTTCATCATCATTTTTGTGCGTATTAAAATGTGCCCTCAAGTCACTCTGTAAACGAAATCCCTGCGGACACATATTACATTTATATACATTATCCGCACCCAAGTGTCCTCTTAAGTGCTTAATCAAATCATTGCTCTGGGCAAAGGAACGAACACAATATTTACATTTGTAAGGCTTTTCCCCGGTATGGGTGCGCATATGCCTGCGACATTGATCGGCAAGGACAAATCTAAATAAATAATTAAAAAAAATATGAAAAAATATTGGTCTTGGCAATTCCATTAGCTTACCTCTTCTCACAAAAATCACATGCAAATCTTCGTTCATTCGTGTGATACAGTTTGTGTTTCTTCAGCAGATATGGCTTGACAAACCCGCTGCCACAAATATCACATATGTGCGACTTGGTCTTTGAATGCACAGCCTTGTGTGAGGCCAAATCACTAAGGCAGGGAAATTTTTTGGGACAATCAGGACATTCATAGGGACGATCAGAGCCGTGCCTTAGAAAATGTTGTTTCATATTGCTCAGGCTTTTAAAAGCTTTACCACATTCTGAGCATAGATATGGTTGTTCTCCCGTATGGACTCTTAGATGATCCTTCAAAGAGCTGGATTGATGGAAAACTATTGGGGCATTTCTTTCACATTATTAAATGTATATAATTAAAATGTATAAAAAATGTACCTTTGTTACAAAATTCACATTCATGTTTGGATGATTTAAGAGGTCCTTCCTCTTTGTCCTCCGAGTCCCGCTTATGAATACGTAAATGTCTTTTAAATGTTTTAAGGGTTTTTAATTGACTGCCACAGTGATTGCAGACGAATTGTTTGGAATCCTCTTTCTGTTGTTTTTGAATCTCCTCCGTTTCACAATCATGTTCTTCTACTTCTTCAGTCCTTTCATTTTTACAAAATCTAAAATTGCAATAAAAATCTATAATTGATATGATGATAATAAAAAGAGGTCAACTTACATATCGGATTCAATAATTTCGGATTCTTTTTCTAAAATAAATTTATCAGTAACATCCTCATCATCATCACTCTTTGTAGCAATTTCCGGCTTCTCTACAATATTGTGGGTTTTAATGTGATTTTTAAGAGTCCTTAGTGTTTTAAAATCTGAAATATTGTAAGCACAATTTTTATAAGGAATATAAGGTACTAAAAATAAATCTCCCCTTTACTCACTTCGTTGACAGTCTTGGCATTGCAATTCCTTCTTGGATTCGTGGCTTTTCCTATGCCGTTCTAGGCTTTTGAATGTCTTCACTTTAAGGCCACATATGTCACAGCTATGTTCAGGGTCATTGTCTACTAATTCTTTACAATTTTCTTGTGCGATATCTTCCGTTTCTTCTGCGGAAGAATATTTCGGATCTCTACTAAAGAAAAACAATAACAGTATTAAAATTATTATTCAAAATAAAAACAATAATACCAACCCTTCATCACAACTACTCGCCGCGCTCATCTGGTTATCCCGGATCACCTGTTGTTCTTTAGCTTCAATACTCCCATCAATATTATCATTGCTTTTCTCATCATTATCATCTTTGCGGATAACTGGTTCCAGTAATTCCAATTTCAAATCATTTTCCAGTGCATTGACGGGTGGCAACATATTAAGTGGATCTGTGGCTATCTCCTGGCGCTCAATGGTGTCATTGTAATGATGATCCACATAATGACAAAGTAGAGCATCCAATATTATATAGCCTTCATTACATTGCAAACATTTCAGAATATAATCTTTGTTGTTGAAGTCAGGCGATATTAGAATATCGCCACATTTGATATATTCCATAAAATTGGTCATAATGCGGTTTCAGAAGTCTTCTGCCAGCCAGCACTCGAATAAACATTACATTAGTCTAGAGGAAACATTCACAATAGTGGGACTGTTTAGAAAGAAGCTGCATAACAACTTTTCCAATTAAACATTTTGTATAGAATAAGGAAACAAAGCAAATTAATAAAAAAAATAAAATTACAGGGATCTAGAATGCGAAAACCAATTAACTTCGATAACTTGATTATCGACAGACTTGTGAAGACTATTCACATTGGAATGATAACATGATTAGTAAGTAAAAGGTAAAAAATAGATGGCAACCTTCATTCACAACAGTGTGACGATTTAGAAATAAGCAGAATAATAAAATTTCCAATCAAGCATGTTGTTTAGAATGAGGAAACAAAGAGAAAATTAAAAAAATGTATAGGGATCTAGAAATGTGAATAGTCTTAAAAATTAACAAGAAAAAATAGTATAGGAATCCATGGTACAATAATAAAAGGTAACAGCAAATCCCAGCTGATTTGATTCCAACGTAATACTAGTGTCAATATGAATTTGACAAATTATGTTTTTAAAAATCGCCCAACAGGAAAATTGGGAAAGCATAAAATTGGAAATTGTTCATTATTAAATGTGCTCCCGTATTCAATTTACTCAATCTGCCTGCTAGGAAAGTTTGAGGAAGCAAATCATTCTTCATGAAATAACTCGCAATTCCCTGCATTTTCATATGTGTTACACATATAAGTGGTTATGGCTCAATTATAGGAAAGATGTGGAAGCGATAGAAATATGAATTTGATAGATTTTCATTCATGTTTTTCGATTTTATTTTGAGGATTCGAAAATATTTCATTTTCAAAATAAATATAATTTCTTGATAATTTGTTTGTTTACATTTTTCTGTCAAATGACGTTGACACTAGTATAACTTACAACAACAAATTTCCATGTGGTTGTTGTATCGTTTGTTGTACAACAACACTTGCTGTTACCTTCTATTATTTTTTTTTTTTTTTTTTTTTTAATATTATTTTGGTTGGCCCACTTTCTATAGGGATAGAAGGTTTAGTGCCATGTATCCGTATGTAGCTTTGCTACGAATTTGTTATCCATAGATGGTGGTTTGTGTTTTGCAGGTTGACTTCGATCTTCTTTAAGAATTTGACCACAATGTTCAGACTTCTAAGCCTTGTGTATCAGTGAACTCTTCTACTGTGAAGGAGTCACATAGTAGCGAAAAGCATCTTCTTTTGCTATTAAATTTACGAAAATTAAAAATTACATGCGCAGCTGTTTGGATTTTGTTGAACGACTCGTAATTTATAGGTTATCCGTATTTAAAAACACACGTGTTAGTTAAGCGAACGCTTAACAACCGCCATTTTGTAAAAATCTATTTTTAAGCCCGTGGGCGTGTAGTACTCATTTAAAATTTTTTTACGTCTTTCTTGTGAGCCGTCCGAGGACGAACTGTTACCTTCTATTATTATACCATGATAGGAATCTAGAAATGTGAATGTGTCTTCACTAGAACCATTCACATTGAAATGATAACAACATTCTCCACACACTCAAAGCTATCTTACGTGCATGGTTGTATTTTAGTGGCAACCTTCAAAATCAGCGATTAAACTTTTAAAATTTATAAAATATCAACAAAGTAAATTTTGTTGGCTAATAGAGTACATTTACATTACATTCCAGGTCATTCATCTATTGAATTCAATGAAATTGTAGACAGGGCAGACAAGAATCCAATCAATGAAGGAATACTTCTAGAAATACAATGGCCAATGCCGGATGCCGTCAATCAGTTGGCTAAGGTTCTTTGAGATTAATGGTCTTATGATTAGGTGCAAGTAGCAATCATATTTATAAAATCTTTCCCCCACTGACAAGAACACACTGGTCTAAAAATTGTAATTCGAAATCTTTTTTTACAAAAACAAATCAATAGAATCTTTAGTTCAAAATGAATATACTAGAGTATAGTACTAGATAACCTATGCGAGGACTGCGGAGAAGCCGAAACGGCCGCACATAAAATCTTTGGATGTCGTAAATTTAATACAAGAAGATGCTTTCAGGAACTATGTGATTTCTTCACACTTGAAGATTTCACTAGGCTTAGAAAGTTTGAACATCATAGGAACTAGAAACATAAATCACCAGCAAGGGAGAAATTCAAATTTCTCGAGTATAAATATATGTTCTGTTCCCGTAGATTTAACTATTTTTGACGATATCATAAATAAAAATTTGTTATCGTGGTAAAAAGTAGTAGATTATTGCAGTACGGGAACATAATAATAAAGAAAATCCATTTTGATTTTATGATTTTTTTCCATATGATACAGCACTTATATAACGGTTCCGCATTTTAGGTCTTTTTAACATCCTAGTCACATTTTTTAGAGCTGAAAGGCTGTAATTGTATATTTCAGATCAAATGAGGTTTAAAGAATCTCTTCGAAGATTTATTCTAACCTCGTTCGCAGAAGCAGAAACGCTTTATTCCAGAAATTTTTAATACGATATTAATATTTCCTGTATAATATCGAAAAAGTATTAAAAATTAGTAGATTCTTGCAGTTCGTATAACAACATTCGTAATATAACCTCCGATATTTTCGGTATTCTTGAGGGCTTAATCGTATTTTCAACCGAAGTACCTGTAATTTGCCCTTTGAAAATTTGAAATTGAAAATTTTGAAAGTTTTAGGCGCAAGTATAAGTCGATGTATCTTTAATTTCGCATTCCGGGTTCATGGAGGTTACAAAAGATGTTTCAGTAACGATTTATTATAGCTTCATATTTGACATAAACCTCATCTTAAGATCGCACACTACTTCGGAATGTTGAAATTCGTAGACGAATTTTCCAAACTTCTTAAATATATGAAAATAGTTTAAACAACGACATATATAAGATGTTCAACCCGATCGAACACAATCTCTTTAACTTATTTTTCTCTTAATAGTAAAAAAAGAAACATAACACCATTTTACATTTATCTACAAAATATACCCTTTATTTCTAATGCATTTAATTCGGCGACATTGCGTGCCCTAGTTTCTTCATCATCATTTTTGTGCAATATAAAATGTTCTTTTACTAATTTCACAGTTGCAAACCGCTGTGGACACAATGCACACTGATAGACATTTTCACCCAAATGAAAACGCAAATGTTTTGTCAATTCATTCGATTGACAATAGGCCTTTTCACAATATTTGCATTTATAAGGTTTTTCACCAGTATGGATACGTGTGTGACGTTGTAGTTTTTCATTTGTATTGAATCTGCAGAAAAAAGAAAAGAAATTACAATTTTTATAACATCGGAAGTAGGTATGGTGACATTTCATACTTACCGTTTTTCACAAAACTCACAAGAGAAAGCCCTCTCATTTCGATGATACATTTTGTGCTGTTTCAGTACAAACGCCCGTGTAAAGCCCCGACCACATAGATCACAGACATGGGTTCTTGATTTCTCTCGATGTACAACGGAATGTGAGGATAAATCTGTACGTGTGGTAAATGCTTTTGGACAGTCTGGACAGGTAAATTGTCGTTCACTTTTGTGCCGGAATGTATGTTGTTTTAAACTGCTCGATGTGGTAAAGCCTTTGCCGCATTCGGAGCATAGAAAAGGTTTTTCGCCTATAACAAAAACAAAAGGTGAAATTTAAGTTAATTTTCTAAAAATGTTTTAATTAAAAGCTTATCGAAGATTTTTTATACAAAAAATTGCACAATTATTTGTTTCTATAGAAACAAATTCGAAGAACTGCAGGACTAATTGTTTTTTGTAGACAAAAAATTTGAAGAGCCGAATGACTATGTTTTAATTTTTATTATAGAAAAAAATTCGACGATTGGCAGGACTATTTTTTTTTGTTACTTTTACTAATTTTCAGGACTATTTTATTCTATAGAAAATGGTGCTGCGTTTTTTTCTATAAAAAATCAGTCTTGTAGTCCTGCGGTTTTTCTATAGAAAAAAATCAGTCCTGTGGTCTTGCGAATTTTTTTCTATAGCAAAAAAAAAATCAGTCCTGTAGTCCTGCGATTTTTTTCTATAGAAAAAAATAGTCTTGTGGCCCTGCAGTTTGTTTTTACATAAAAAATAGGCCAGTGGTCCTGATAATTTCTTTTTTATAGAAAAAAAATCGATGGACCACAGGAATCAGTCCTGCAATTTTTTTTTTTTTTCTATAGAAAAAAAATTAGTCCTGCAAATTTGTTCCTATAGAAAAAAATCAGTCCTGTGGTCCTGCAAATTTTTTCCATAGAAAAAAATAAGTCTTGTAATCCTGCGATTTTTTTCCTACAGAAAAAAATCCTATTATATTTGCAACTTACCGCTATGCGATCTCAAGTGATCTCTTAGCATATAGGCATGTGGAAAACCTGTTGGGAATATTAAAAAGAAAATACGATATTATTGAAATTGACTTATGTAGTTGAACCGACCGTTTGAGTACCTCTATCACAAACATTGCACACATATTTTCTATCACGATCTTCGTTGGCTTTTTTCTCATGCAATAGTAAATGTTTTTTAAGGGATGCTTCAGTTTTGAGCTGTTTTTTACACTGGGTACATGGAAATGACTCCTGAGATTCCGACTTCTGTTTTGATTCGTTGGATTTTTTAGTGGATGATTTTGCCGACTTTTCCTTTTTTGATACCCTTTTCCTATCAACATAAATAAGTAAGTAGGGATTATATTGAAATATAGCCTATATCAGATAATAATATCCTTACTTTACTCCAAAATCGCTATCACTATCCGTATCCAATTCAAAATCTATACTCAAATCACTGCAGCTCTTTATGAATTCATCTTCATTGTAGTTGTCGTGCAAAACATCTTCCGCCGATATATTTCCATCGTCCACAAATTGATCCGATTGAAATGAGTTTTGATCTATAAAGACATCTTCCTCCAGTTCAGCTTTCATTAACTTCTCATCACCGACATCTAAAGCCTTTTCAAAAATATCAAAAAATGGATGTTCCACCTCGTCTTCTGGCTTTGCAGCAGTTGCACCACCACCATCACCACCCTCTTCGCATGTCTTCACCAGTAGCTCATTTAGCTGTCGTTCCACACTTAAACATTTTTCCCGAAAATAATTGAACTCCTTGACTTTATTGGCACATTCCACGCAAATCTGTTTGGGGAGTTTATCATTTTGTTGCAATTGCAGCTGAGGAATGGACACTTTTAACAAATCCAATATGCTACAATGTTTGTTTTCTCCTTCATCCATGGTTACAACAATAGTATTGAGTGATAACATTTGCTTTTCCTGTTTGGCTTTCGCTTGTATATCCTCCGATTTCAAGGAGCCAGTTCCGTCATACATGCACGTACGGCACAGGTCCTCAATTTTTAGAGACATAATATCTATTGGGATTTGGGTTTAAAAACAGTACAACTGGAAAACAAAAATATTTCAATGTTTTTTCTTCCGGAATTAGACAAAACATAAAAATATAATTCACAATAAACGATAAGTGTTGCCATACGTTGATGTCATAGTGGGATTATTGTGAACGCCTGGTAAATGGGTTATTTTTTATTTGTTAATATTAAAATCAAATCATTATAAAAGTATATAAATTGTTTTTTTTCCTACCGCATAATATCAATCAATTCCAAAATATAATATGCCGCGAGTTCACCCATAAGAACTATCAAAAAGGGCTAAAAAAGCAACTGTGTGGGTAGTGACTTTTTCCGCCCGTTATTAAATAATATACACTGCAAATTGCTGTGTTTATTTGACATTTTTCAACATCCTGGGAATGATAGATATTAAGCAACGGCTCTGGTTGGCTTTAACATGGCGAAGTCCAGGCTTATCTTGGTCTCTCTTTCATCTCAATTGTGGACACTGTCCTCCCCGCGGTGCCATCTGGGGTAGCTATTTTCAATGCCCGTCGAGTTCACCCATAAGAACTATCAAAAAGGGCTGGAGGCGTCGGGTTAGTTGCCAATATTCGGAAAACCCAACCTACTATGAAAAAACAAAGAAAAAGAAAGCTAAATCCCCCTAATGTTGACGACCCCGCAAACGTATAAAGGATCACGATCTGCGAATCTGCACTTGAAATGTGCCCACGTTGTACAGAACAGACGCAGTTTTCGCTTTAGCGAATGTACTCAAGAAGTACAAAGCCGATATTATCGCCTTACAGGAAATGCGATGGAAAAGGGCAGGTAAAACGGCACATACATTAGAACTTTTTACCGTGTTAACCTACTTTATGAGGATTTATTTGACATATATGCAAAGGAATTGACAATTGAAACCCACTGGGTTAACGAAATCCGGTTAAATGTAAACGTACTATAAGGGACGTAAATAAGATGATTACGCTCTGTATTATAGCTGACATGAAACGAGACATGAATTTGGCTGCGGATTTATGGTTAACAGGAGAATAAAAGATCTCGTCTCCAGATTCACTTTAGTAAATGAAAGAATTGCTATAATCCGTATAAAAGCGAAGTTCTTCTCATTGTTATTTGCGCCCATGTTCCGACCGAATACAAAGATGAGCAGAATTTTTTTAAAATTGTTAATAGAAAAAAATATGATCGCTGCCCTGGTCATATATTAAAATTTGCAAGGAGATTTTAATGCAAAAGAAATGAAATTATATACAAATAAATATGACATAATTGACCCCACCTTCGGAAAATTCAGCCGCCATGAATAAAAATCAGACAACGGCATGAGGTTGATTGACTTCGCGGCAGCAAAAAACATGGTAGCACCAGGTTCAAGCATCTCGATATATACAAGGTCACCTTCTGAACAAGCAACGAGAAATCAAATTGTTGGGATGGACGGAAGGCATTCATCCAGTGTATTAGACGTTCAATCGATCCGAGGAGCGAATATGGATTCGGACCACCACCTTGTAGCAGCCAAGGTTCAAACTCGTCTTAATGTAGCAGCAAAGGTGCGATCTAACACAGCACGGAAACTCGACGTCGAAAAGCTACAAACACAACAGGTAGCCGAGACCTACTCCGCTCAATTTACCCACCTGCTTGACGAAAGCACTTCCTGTCCCGATAACAGTATAGAAGCACAATGGCAAAGGATTGCCCACTCCCTACAAAGCAAAAAAAGCAACACTTGGGTACCAAAAATCACCATCAAGAAACCCATGGTACGAACAGAAGTGTCGTAATGCTACCGATGTGAAAAACGTTGCATTATATAAAATTTATTATTTTTATTTTTTATTTTTAATTATAAATAAATTAAAATTATATACAAATTAATACAACATAATAAGACACAAATATATTTTTATTATTTTTTTCTTCAGTTTTTATCCCTTTTATACCCTTATTGCATCATTATTTTTCTATCTATTCATAACAAATGAAATGAAATTGATATATAACCCTGTACCTTTATATATAGAAACTCCACAATATGGCAACCTATTAAACGCTACGACGACATTTTAGGGCACGCTAGAAATGCGTTGTTACGACTGATGTCTATTTTAAGCGCCAACCAAACACAGAGAAATTGCCTCCATTGTGATTGAATACCCACTCGTCTGTCATAATTTTGTTTACTTTTTCATACAATTGCCTTAAAATAGAAGCCATTTTGACAGTTTGTTGAGGAATCAGCTGTTTTTGTGGATGACTCAATAACTGGGCATTGCTTGAATGGGATGCCTCTTGCATAGGGATATCTAGTTAAGGGCAAAAATCGAGCTTGCACGATCCAAGTGAGTGAAAAACAAAACGTAAACAACTGCCAAAATATATTTTGGAATTAATGAATTAATTTGCGGGCCGAAGGGAAACCCCAAGATTTGCCAAAATTATATTGTGAATGTATTTGTATTGCTAGCGAAATGCCTGTGTCACTGGATCGAATGTGTCGCACATGTATCTTTGATGGTACACTCGAATATGAGCCACTCATCGAAAGGGAAATGGTGCCATTGGAGACCACGGTAATCGAGGAACTTAACATAAGCATTATGGAGTTGTTGAAGGCATCGATACCGCAATTGAAATTGGATCCGAATGCCAAACTTCCGAAAAATATTTGCCTTGATTGTGTGGGCCGGGCCAAGGAATTCTATGTGTTTCAGCAACGCTGCCTTGAAGTTGAAAATCAATTTGATGATATTTTGGAAACTATGATTATGGCCAAATCGGAAGATGACACAGATAATGGAAATTCATTTTATTATGTCTTCGAAACGGAACTTGATGAGGGTGATAATTTAGAAAATGCCGAAGAAGTTGGTGTGGAGGTTGTGGCTGATGTCGTGGAAGAATTGCCGGTAATCGAACAGTGTAAAGAAGAGGTGGAAGAAGAGGAAGTCGGTGAAGAAATTGTCGTGGAAGAGGTTGAGGGTGGTGATAGTCCAATGTGGACTATATTCGATCCGGACGAAGAACGTAATGAGGAGGATTATGCGGCGTAAGGATATATCAAATTCAAATATTATTGATTTGTTAATTTATGGTTTAATCTTTAGTTCTGTCAAAAATGAAGAGGAAGAAACCAGTGAGGCTAGCGAAGAAATGAGTGACCATGAAGATGAAGTTTATTTCCCATGCGACGTTTGTGATAGAAAATATAGAACAGAATCATCGCTTAAAAAGCATATGCGGATACACAAGGAAAAGAGAGAAGGCAACAAAATTATATGCCAAATATGCGATAGAAGTAAGGGAGAAATATAATTAAGTGGAATTGGGTATTTTAAAACTAATGTTTAATTATTGCAGCATTTTTACATCCATATTTGTTGAGACGTCATATGCGCAATCATAGTGGTAAGTAATAACCGTTTAATGGCTCTAATTTTCAAATAATGTTTGGCCATTTGTTTTTTAGGAGAAAAACCATATCTGTGTCAGGTATGTGGTAAAAGTTTCAAAACCACCAGTAATTTAAATCAGCACACTGTTCGCCATCAAACGGAAAAACTGTTTGCCTGCTCCGAGTGTCCCAAGAAATTTATTGCTCGCAATGATTTAATTTCACACTCGGAACGGCATAAACCCAATCCAAAGGTTTTCGTGTGTGATGTGTGTGGACATGGCTTTGCCAAGGAATATCGTTTGAAGAAACACAAAATCTTCCACACCAATGAAAGGCCTTATGCCTGTGAATTTTGTGATAAACGGTAAGTGAAGTTAAACGGTAATATGGCAATAGCTAAGTAACCAAATATTTTTGTGTGTCTTTCAGATTCTTTACAAATGAAAAACGCAATCGTCATACACGCATTCACACCGGTGAAAAACCCTATAAATGTACATTCTGTGACAAGGCCTATCGTCAATCGAATGAGCTAACAAAACATTTGCGTATGCATTTGGGTGAGAATATCTATCAGTGTCAATTGTGTCCGGAAAGATATCCAACCGTTAAGCTGTTACAAGATCATTTTGGCACCCACAAAGATGACGATGAGGAGACAAGAGCACGTAACTTGGCTGCTTTCAATGCCATGGAAATAAAGGGTATATTCTATAAGAAAATCGAAATAGAAATTTAATTTAGATAAACATACTTATATATACAGCTTAACATTATCGTATAATTATTAAAGCAGAAACCTAAAATAAAGTTATAAACCAAACAAATGGGAAACAAGTTAAGGACTTAATTCCATTTAAACCAAACCAATTTTGATTTAGGTATGTAAAAAAATATGCAAAGGAAAATTGAATTGAGCCCAGAATCTGATACGACCAAATTTGTTTAAAATCTTTAAACAATTCTATCAGATTGCCATGAAATTTTGCACAGGGTAACGCATTGAGAATACGACGACGTGTCTAAGGTTTGCTTCATATCGTTTCCGATTCGAATAAATCTTCCACACATATTTTCGTTCGATTTCATGTACCCACCATTTGTAATTGGGTAATATACTTACTAAGCTGGCTTGTGACAGAACATTCGTTCCATAAGCCGTGCTTAAAAAAGATTATCAAGCGCGTCGGTCTTTTGTGCAGTTTTTTTTTTCAATTTGAAAGACCATATTCGTCAATGTTGTCTTCCACTTGGTCTTTCCATCTTATTCGTGGCCGTGAACCATCAACTGGTTCGCTTTTATGTGCCTTCTGGGCTGGGGCATCTTCATCCATTCTCACATGACCTAGCCCACGTAGTCGCTGCAACTCAATACATCTAACAATGTCGATGTCCGAGAATAGCTGGTACAACTCATAGTTCATTCGACGGCGATTATCACCGTCAACGCATATCGGCCCATAGATCTTTCAGAAAATTTTCTCTCAAACACTCTAAGAGCTGCCTCATCTGCTTCAAATCCATACAACACAGCACGGGTAGTATCAGCGTCTTGTAGAGTGTGAGTTTGGTCTGGGGGAGGTGGCCTTGCTTTTGAGTTGTTTGCTCCGACCATAGTAGCATCTGTTGGCCATCACTATCCTTCTTCGAATTTCATAACTGATGTCTTTCGTTTTGTTTAAGGCGGTACCAAGGTATATAAAATCTTTGACTACCTCGAAGCTGTAGTTCTCAAGTTCCACAGTTGGTCAACAGTCTAGTGGACGTCTTGCGCTTTGATACCATCCAAGCTGATGGTATCAAAGCCGTTTACTGCCAGAAATGGTGTACCAAACTACTTACATTCACCGAAATAATATAAAAATCTCGATATGAGATCCTGCTTTTCCAAAAATAAATTCAAAAAATTATAACTTTTTTAACATTTATTCTTTCTTAAAACCAAATTTAATTTTAAGATTTTGCACTTCAATCTTACGGGCTTCCAAATTTTTCTTACGCGTTTCTTCATCGTCGTTCTGCAAAATAAAAAAATTAAAAAAAAAAAATATTTTATTTTTGAAAAAATGTTTCATACCCTATGTGTGGCAAAATGGGCGCGTAAATCCCTGGCCTTTGGAAAACGCAATGGACACAAATCACACTGGTAGATATTTTCGCCAACATGTTGACGCATGTGTTTGTTACAATCGTTGCTTTGGGCAAAGGCACGATCACAATAATGGCAGGCATATGGCTTTTCACCCGTGTGTGTGCGTATATGGCGACGCAGTTTTTCACCGGTTACAAAGCTAAAAAATACACCTTTTTTTTAAATATTCCAACGATTTTTGTTCCACAACACATACCGCAAATCACAATGTTCACAGGCAAAATTCTTAATACCCTTGTGATATAAATTATGTTTTTTCAGCATATAGGCCATATGGAAGGCAGCACCACAAGTGTCACACACAAATGGTTTCTCTTTTTTGTGTACCAACGAATGACAATAAAGTCCACTGGCGCAGACGAATGTTTTCGGACAGTGGGCGCATTGAAATGTTTTCTCACCCTTGTGCCGTAACATATGCGTATACAGGCTACTTCTAACCTTAAAACTTTTACCACATTCAACACATAGAAAGGGTTCTTCTGCTGGGAATAATAGGAAAATTGAGAGAAAAAATAACAATAATGTATTTCAAAAATTAAAAACGTACCTGTGTGTGTTCTCATATGAATCCTACAGGTGCTTGCCCGCAAGAATTCTAAGAAGTAAATATGTTTTTTATTAGAAAATCTTAGCAATACAACTCGAATGGGAATTCAAATATAAATCCCATACAAATTAAAATTTTATAATATAAGTTCAAAATTTTACCTTTCTCACAATATTCACATTTAAAACTTTTTCTCTGTTTGCTATTTCTGGTATTGTTCGATTTGTGTTCTGTCTCCATGTGCTGTCTCCATGTTTCCAAATCACCGAGTAGCATTTTACATTCCTGGCACGTATATGTTCCATCATCATTTTGTTGGGGCTTGGGATTGCATTCACTTGAGTCATCACCTATTTTTGCTTCCAACTTTTTTGTAGTCCTTTGGGGTTTCTTGGATTGTGAAATGGTTTCCAACAAAATATCATTGCTAAAACAACAACAAAAAATGATTTTATTTCCATCAAAATTGTGTACAACATGAACAAATTTACCTTGTCTCTTCACTATCGCTGTATTCCATGTCAATCAATTCCTCTGGTTCCTCTTCTTCATCATGATTATCATCATCGACATACGCAATTGGACTCTTTTCAATATCTATTTCATACGATGCATTGGCATCTTCTTTGACAAATTCTTCAATATGTAATTCTGTAGCATTTTCCAAAGATTCAGAGTCCATGGTCGCCTGTCGGTTCTTTATGAGTTTCTGTAACTTGTCATTGGCCTGTCTGTATGATTCCAAAAATCTATAGGATTTTTGTAATTGTTCAGCACACATCAGGCACACTGTTTTTGGTAAATTATCCAGGAAATCAATATGAATTTGTGGTTCCAATTGCATTAATGCTTCCATTATTGTTGGACTTGCAGAGTTCGAGCTACCATCATCATCATCATTATTTAGTGGCTCATAAATACATTTGACAGATATTGTTGAATTATTGCCAGTGTTGGCTGTACAAGTTCGGCAGAGATCCTTTATGGGGTATATACAGGAACTATTGTCCTCCATTGCTTCCATTAAGTCTTTCCAGATATTTAAGTTTCTTTTAAGAAAGTGTCTTTCGTAGAATTTTGTTTACAGTATAAAATCAGCTGTTATGAGAAAGAGATGGATATATGTATGTGTGTTTATGTTAAGGTGGTCGCAATAGTTTACCTAATTTTTGAAATAAAAAAACATTTGTAATATTTGTTCTTCTTTAATTTTAAGTGGAAAAGCCTCCTCATTTATAATTATAAATAAAAAACTCCTTTGCCATTAAAAGCCGAAACTATGTTTAAACATTCACTTTGTAATGATGGCATTCAAAGTATTTTTATTATTTCAAAGGGGAAACTACAGCTGTCATCCACCTCGGAACGATAACTTTGAATATAATGACGTTTAAAATTAATATTTGTTCATGTTTTTTAATAAAATTAAATCGATCTTGTGTCTCTAGAGAGAAATATATATTATAATTCAATTTGAAATTAATTCACTTTGTTATGATAGCGTGTAAATTTAACCTGTTCATTTCATGGAAGAAACTATAGCTGTCATTCACCTCGGAACGATAATTTGAATATAAAGACGTTTAAAACAAATAATTTTTTCTTGATTTTTAATAAAATTAAATAGATCTTTTTAATAAAAAGTAATAGATCTTTGACTTACGATGCCATCTATCAACTTAAATTATTATTTATTTGTATAGATTTAAAGAAACAACAACTTTCTAAAGGATTAAAAGAAACAACTTTCTATAGGATTAAAAGAATCAACTTTCTGCCCTTTTTTATTTTTTATAACCATATTTCATTTTAAGATTATTTATTTCAATTTCACGTTCCTCCAGATTTTTCTTGCGTGTTTCTTCATCGTCATTCTAGAATTCAAAATAAGAATATTAAAAATATATATTTTTACATTTAGATTGTAAATGATCGGACCTTATGTGTGGCAAAGTGGGTACGTAAATCTCTGGCCAGTGGAAAACGCAATGGACACAATTCACATTGATAGATATTTTCACCGATATGTTGTTTTATATGTTTATTACAATCGCCACTTTGGGCAAAGGCACGATCACAATAAGGACAGGCATATGGTTTTACGCCGGAGTGCGTTATCATGTGACTTTTTAGGAGTTTGGTACTGGAAAAACTAACGAAAGAAATAGTAATCGAGTTATATGCTTTTTTGTTGGCAAAAAAATATGTATTACCATTCACACATACCGTAGACTGCATTGTGTGCAGGGGAAATTCTTTTCACCGGTGTGTAATACACTGTGCTGTCTTAGTAAATATGCGTGAAGAAAGCTACCTCTACAAGTGCTACAGACAAAAGGTTTCTCTTTTTTATGAATCAACATATGACAATAAAGATCACTCTTGCAAACATATTTCTTTGGGCATTCTGGACATTGCAAATTTTTCTCTCCTTTGTGGCGTAACATATGTATATGTAAATTACTTCCAGTCTTGAATCTTTTGCCACATTCAACACAAAGATATGGTTTTTCACCTGTGGTAAATACAATCGATAATATTGCAATGTAATGTGTGGTGATTTTATTTACCATAAAAAGAGTATTACCTGTGTGGGTACGTACATGATTCTCAAAAGCAACTAGATGGAAAAATACTATAAATAAAAATAATAAATTCTAAACGTGTCCAAATAAGCATCGGACAGAATGATTAACTATAGATTTATGATTTATTTCTCTTTCTGTCCGACGTTGGGTGTCTAAGCTTCCGATCATACCTTTCCCACAAAATTCACATTTATGACTTTTCCTCCCTTTACGATTTCTTGTCTTGTTGGTTTTATGTTCGGTGCGCATGTGTTGTTTCCATTTTTTCAAATCATTTAGAACCATTTTACATTCCTGGCAGGTATATGTTTCGTCTGCATTCTTTTGTGATGCCTCTTCAATGGAATCCAGATTATTTTTGCTCGCGTCAATTATATCTTTAGTTGCCTTTTGAATCATTTTCTTTTTGGTGCGTTTCTTTGGTATTGGTAATGTTTCCATTAACAGATCACTACTAAAGTAAAAATAACTATAATATGTACTTTCTTTCCAACTAATTTAGTATAAATATTATTATATTATATTTATTTATATTGTATTTATTTATATTATATTTATTATCTAATTCGAATCTTATTTGTTTTATTTTTTTCTTTATGATGGGGAACAAAAACGAATTTTGAGTGCATTGTATTTGTATTTTTATTTTATATAAAATATATTATTTAGATTTAAGTATTCTCAGGTATGAATTAAGTACTGTGTAATATATTATTGGCCTTTAAGGCTTCCATATTACTGAATAAATAAATTGAAATATATTTACCTTGTATCTGAACTACTATCATTTATTTCTTCACAATCCATGTGAACCAATCCATCCGACAGTGAATGATCTTCATGATTTTCAATTGAACCTTCTAGGGCATTATTATCACAATCTTCCGAATCTACATTTGCCTTTCCAAATTCATTGTCATCTAATTGTGCTTCGTTTCCCAATGATTCCGCTTCCTCCACGGATTGAATACACTTTAATAATTTCTCTAACTTTTCATTGGCTTGTCTGTATGATGTCAAAAATGTATGGGTTTTTTGCAATTGTTCCACACATGCCAAGCACACAATCTTCGGTAAACTGTCTAGGAAGCCAATTTCTATTTGTGGTTCCAATTTTATTAGTATTTCGATTATTGTAGGACACGGAGGAGCACAGCTATTGATACCATTTAGTGGTTCATAAATACATTTGATGGCAGTTTTTGAATTGGCGCCAGTGTTAGTGTTGGCTGCACATGTTCTGCACATTTCATTTAGGGGAAATAAATTGGATCTGTTATCTTCCATTGTTACCGCGAATTTCTCTAAAATTATAGGTTCCTTAAGAAATATTTTTCCTGTTTAAATTTTGTTTACTACACACAATCAGCTGATGTAGGGAATGTATGCATGTATGTGTCAGTGTGTGCGTTAAGGTAACCGCATTGCTCTATTTATACAATATGTGCTATGGAAGTATATTAAACACAATTCACATTTGAAATCCCATTTTCTTTGTTAAATTAGGAGAAAACCCTACATGGTCCTATTCTGATCTGTTAAATGCATCAAAAATACTTCACTTGTATTGTCCAAGAAAAGGAAAGAAAACAATACTATAATTGCAATACAGTTTGTAATGATAGCAGTACAAATAAAAACCGCTTAATTCTGCATAGTCAAAGGGGGAAACTATAGATGTCATTCACACCGAAATGATAACTTTGAATATAAAGACGTTTAAAATAATTAATTTTTTCTTGATTTTTAACAGAATTAAATAGATCTTGTGTCCAAAGAGTTTAACATGAAATATATAATTCAATTTCAAAATGAATTCACTTTGTTATGATAGCGTACAAAATTAAAACGGTTCATTTCAAAGGAGAAACTGTAGCTGCCATCCAACCCGGAATGATTACTTTGAATTTAAATACGTTTAAAATTATTTTTTCTAGTTTACTTAATATGAAATATATTATAATTCAATTTGAAAATCAAAGCAAATAAATTACTCAACTAATATTCATATAAATATATATATATATAGCCTAAGGAATTAATATCCAATATTAACAAAGCTCGGAATCTATTGAAAATCGGCCCGAATTAAAGAAAGCTTTCAAGTGAGTGATGTATCAAAGACAGATCTGTCCGATTGTGGCCAAATTTGGCACGGAACAGCGATTAACTTTAAATTTGGCATAGGCGACAAAATTCCAGTTCAGAATAACGTGAGTGTAATTTTATGTTAAAATTTTTCAATATAGGTCTTAAAGAAATATCTTCCTGTACATTTTACTCTTTTTTATAGCCATATTTAATTCTAAGATTATTTATTACGATTTCACGTTCCTCCAGATTTTTCTTGCGTGTTTCTTCATCGTCATTCTGGAATTTAAAATAAGAATATTAAAAGAAAAACACATTTAGATAGTAAATGATCTAACCTTATGTGTGGCAAAATGGGTACGTAAATCCCTGGCCAGTGGAAAACGCAAAGGACACAATTCACATTGGTAGATATTTTCACCAACATGTTGTTTCATGTGTTTATTGCAATCGTTGCTTTGGGCAAAGGCACGATCACAATAATGACAGGTATATGGTTTTTCGCCAGTGTGCGTAAGCATGTGACGTTTTAGAACTTTGGCTCTAGCAAAACTGAAGAAGAAATAGTAATTGTAGTTTTATGCATTTTATTACAATTCATACATACCGTTGATTACATTGCGTACAAGGAAAATTCTTTTCACCCGTGTGTAATACACTGTGCCTTCTTAATAAATATGCTTGAATAAAGCCAGCCCCACAAGTGCCACAGACAAATGGTTTCTCTTTTTTATGAATCAGCATGTGACAATAAAGACCACTGGCGCAGACAAATTTCTTTGGGCATTCTGGACATTGCATATTTTTTTCTCCTTTGTGGCGTAACATGTGTGTATGTAAACTACTTGCAGACTTGAAACTTTTACCACATTCAACACAGAGATATGGCTCTTCGCCTGTGTTTAAATACAATAAATAATGGTAACATTAAATCAAATATGGTATGTTTTATTTACAAAACAAACAAAAAATTACCTGTATGTGTGCGTACATGATTCTCATAACCAGCTAGATGATAAAACACTATAAATAAAATTAAATTACATTAAGATGCATAAAAAGGTATATTAATTCAAGGCATCGGATATATCAATTAACATGCTATGTATTTCTGGGTTATTTTTTCCTGTCCGACCTTATGCGTCTAAACTTCTGATCATACCTTTCCCACAAAATTCACATTTACGACTTTTCCTCTGTTTGCCATTTGTTGTATTGTTTGCCTTATGTTCGGTGCTCATATGTTCTTTCCATTTTTCCAAATCTTCCAGAACCATTTTACATTCCTGGCAGGTATATGTTTCGTCTGCATTCTTTTGTGGTTCCTCTTCCATTGAATCCAGATTATTTTCGCTGGCGTCTTTATTTCCCTTCTTACTTTTCTTTCTGGGGCGTTTCTTTGGTAAAGGTAAAGTTTCCATGAACGGATCACTACTAAAATAAAGAAGAAAAAATATATATTATTTTCTTTCCAAATATTTCGGTATAAAAAATGTACCTTGTATCTGAACGACTATCATTAATTCCTTCACAATCTGTGTATTCCATGTTAACCAATCCATCCGGCATCGAATGATCTTCATGATTTTCAATTGAACCTTCTCGGACATCATAATCTTCCGAATCTACATTTTCATTTCCAAATTCGTTGCTCTCTAATTGCGCTTTGTTTCCCAAAGATTCCTCTTCCTCCACGGACTGAATTCTCTTTAATAATTTCTCTAACTTTTCATTGGCTTGTCTGTATGATGTCAAAAATATATGGGTTTTTTGTAATTGTTCCACACATGCCAAGCACACAATCTTCGGTAAACTGTCTAGGAAGCCAATTTCAATTTGTGGTTCCAATTTTGTTAGTATTTCCATTATAGTGGGGCACGGCTCACAGTTACTACTGTCATTTAGTGGTTCATAAATACATTTGATGGCAGTTTTTGAATGGTCGCCATTGTTAGTGTTGGCTGCACACGTTCTGCACATTTCATTTAGGGGATTTAAAGAGGATTTGTTATTTTCCATTGTTTCCACGAACTTCTCTCTAAATTATATGTAACTTCTTAAGAACTGTTTTTCTTTTTAAATTTTGTTTACAACACAAAATCAGCTGATATAGGAAATAAATGTATATATGTGTGAGTGCGTAAGGTAACCGCATCGTTATTTTATACAATTCACATTTGAAATCCTATTTCTTTATTAAATTTTTAGTGAAGCCTATTTGGTCCTCTACTGATATGTAAAATATTTAAAAAATACTTTACTTTTGCAGTCCAAGGTCTATTTAAATATAAGCCAAGTTGTAGTAACAAAGAAAACAATACTATACTTGCAATTCACTTTGTAATGATTGCAATGAAATACAAATAAATTATTTAAATAATAACTTCAAAAAAATATGTTCAACGAACTTCTTCTAAATTGGTATCAAAACGTACCCGTAAAAATAAGAGATATATTTTAAATTCCGCCATTTGCCGCCATAATACCACAATGTGTTTATTTAGGGTATTTGCTTAATGTTTATATATATTCCGAAAAAAATATATGACCATCCCTAATATTTAATTTATTTTCCATAAAAATGTTGTTTTTATTATATAATTGTTATTCATCCATACACCTTATTAAATACCTCCCTGATAAATGTATTTGATTTATATACGAAAGGCGAACCTATAATTGTAATTCACTTTGGGGTGATCACACTGATAATCTTGTAAAATTCTGCCATTCCATCTATTTTTCGCGTTTCTAGTAACATTTTAAAAATATATCAAGTGAAAAGAACGACTTCTTGCATTTCTTTTTATTAATTATTTATCTAAATTCAAAATAATTAAAAAAGGGTGGTACAACTGTTTTGTTAGAGTTCGGTAGGAGATATCTTTATTACAAAATTTATATATATATATATATATAAATTTCCATATACATAAATTTTATTCTCTCTTATATCCATAATTAATCTTAAGATTATTTACTTCAATTTTACGAGCCTCCAAATATCTTTTGCGTGTCTCTTCATCGTCCATCTAAAAAAATATATTAAAATAGATCATTTTTTAATTGAAATTTCAAACTGATCAAAAATTTTCGAATAGAATATGTCAAATTAAATTAGCAGTTAAAATTATTGTTATTTCTAGTTCGAAACACTTAATTATTGCATATATTTTGCGTAGTATTATAATTAGATAATTTTAAAAAGTACAGTGAAAAAATCGAATAAATTTTGCGAATGGATTGATTTCAATTAAAAATTAACTCTTTTGAATTACATCTGAAAAAGATGGAATTAAAAAACAAGTATGTATGTAATAATAACTGTTACCGTATGTTTTAAAATATGTGCATTAATTTCCTTTATTGTTGGCAAACGCAATGGACAAAATTCACACAGATGAACGTTTTCACCCACATGCAATTTCATATGTTTGAATAAGTCGTTCCTTTGCAGAAATGCACGATCACAATAATGACACCCATGTGGTTTTTCCCCAGTATGAGTTAACGTATGGCGGTCAAGTGATGTTTTGCGAGCAAATCTGGTAGAAAGAGATAACGATTGCAGTATGTTCATACATATTTTCTGTATTCATGCACACACACATACATACCGTTGATCACACTCGACGCAAACGAAATTTTTTATTCCCGTATGCAAAAAACTATGGTTTTTCAATAAATAACTCTTATTGAACGCCAATCCACAAGTATCACAAACGAATGGTTTCTCCGTTTTGTGTACAAACATATGACCATGCAAATCACTTTTGTCAACAAATTTTTTTAGACACACCGGACATTGTTCCTTTTTTTCTCCACTATGTCGTCTCATGTGAGCATTTAGATTTGCCTGGGCTTTAAAAGTTTTTCCACACTCTGTACACAAAAATGGCGTTTCACCTGTAATATGAAATGAATACAAAACAAAGTTTTATTAGCAATATCCACACATATATGTATGTTATGTATAAAACAAAACTATATACAAAACATTACCTGAGTGTATACGCATATGTATGTTAACTTCGTATGGTTTGGCAAACTCTACAAGAAAGTGTAATATTTTTTTAATTCTATTTTTAACATACATTAAGCTAATTTCATTACTTTTTCCACATTGTGGGCATGGATGTTTCCGTTCTGCTTTTTTCCTTGGGGGTCTTATTCTTTTTATTCCCTTGTGGACTAAC